GAGAGAGAGAGAGAGAGAGAGAGAGAGTGGAGATAAACGACCAACGGCATTCGGATAATAAAATTCCCCTGGCTGTTCCATCGAGGTTGGAATTTTCTCGTTTTAACCGAGCTTGTGTGCATGCGTTGGATTTCGGCTCACGTATCTTAACAGAGAAACCACGAATAAAGAATAGAAAGCGTGGTGACCGGGGAAGGACACTCGTTTGACGAGTAGCTGTCTCTCGAAAAATCAACTCATTTTTCGAAAAAGGGGATCGATTCGAAAAAAGAAGAAAAGAGAGAGAGAGGAAAAAGTAAAAAAGACGAACGACACCGCAGTCTCGTCGATTATTCGTGAAATTCGTTGCGCTTGGAAACAGTCGCGCGGAATCGGTTTGTTGTCCAGAATGTGAATAATTTGTATGGCGAGTCGTGAATCGTGGGATTCCCTGGCTAACCGATGTGTCCATACATTCGAATCCACTCTCGATCGTGTATCGCAATAGATTTCCAAAATGATACAATGTCCCTTCCTTCTCCCCGTACACCCTCTCTCCCCCTTTGATCGTCCACGTAATGGATTCGTAACGTTGCTACATCGAAAACAAGCCTCGAGCTATATAAAACAAATCCGAGTTCGAGGCAAAACTCCGTCGTAAACAGAGAGAAGGAAAATCGAAAGATCGAAGGAAATAGGGGAGGGGTGAAAAGTTCGGAAACGATCTTGGGTGGAGGGAAAGGTATTTTTCTCCCCTTTGTGATTCAATTTTCTTTGCGGTTCCACACAGAATGGAGAGTGACAATGCGCGAATACAATTCGGCATTCTTTCGCGAGTTCTCTCCCGTGAAAGGCGCAATTCTATCTGGAATTGCGCGAATTTGCTTTCAAAGTATCCACAAACTCGTTTCGACAGAGAGAGAGAGAGAGAGAGAGGCGACAGAACGAACGCTGTTGTGCAAGATTAGGGGCTTCGCTTTGGTGGAAAAAGCGGATCTGCTCGATCTGCTCGGCACAAAAGGATCCGCGAGGCGGAGAAAGCGCGATGGAAGAAGGGAGGGAGGAAGGAAGGAAAGGACTATTGGAAAATAGAAGGAGACAAAGGGAGGGAGGGTGGTGGTTCGGTGGCTGCCACCACCGATTCTCGATGCTTGATGCTCCTTGCCTTTTGGCCATCGTCAAAGGATGAAAATTGAACCGCGGGAAGCTGGAACGTACAACCGAGATTGTGCAAAGTTCCGACCGCCATGGACCCGCTGAATTTTTCTCCCGTCGCGAGTGAAAGGGAAGAATTTCGCGGCTGAAAAAGAAGAGGGATGATATCGATCTTCGAGAGAATTGTCAATGTTGAAATTATATCTCGAAAGTTGGGAAATAAAGAAGTACGGGGAAGTACAGGTATTGGATTAATCGTAAGTCTTTCGAGAGATTGACTCCGTTTTATCGAGCTACGTCATCGTGCGTCGATGAAGGGAAGTTTCTTCTCGTTTAACGAGAAAACAACGTAATGGAAAATCGCGTCTTAATGAAGTGAACGATAGCGGAATATATACTCGTGAAACATTATAATTATAGGAGGGTGTTAGTGGCAATGATCGAAGAGATGATAAAAGGGGAAGGTTTTTCTTCTCTGACTCTGAAGAATAACTATAATACTGTTCGCTTGGAACGAAGCCTCGAAAGTTCTTCGTGAAGGATAAAATAAAGAAAAGTTCTTCATTATGAACACTATAACTAAACAAGAAGGATGATAAAAAGATAGTGAAAAGAGACTTTTTCGATGATTCTCGATAATTTTTCACTCATCGCAAATCGATCGATTTTGAAAAATTAAAACGGTCAAGTGTTTTTTATAAAAAAAAAAAATACGTCCAAAACTTTAGAAATTTTCATTCTGCGGAAAAATTTCCAGTAACGAGTTTGTAGGACGAGTTGTAAAAAAAGGTGTAAAAAAAAAAAAAAGTAAAAGCACAGACACCTGATGTTTCGAATAGGAGCGCAAAATTAATCATGCGAGGCGTTCCCTAAGCTTCAACACTGCCTGCTATTGTTAATACTCTTTTTGGCACGCGGCCAAGCACAAAGGTGAAACAGCATTAGCACGTGCGATGCTTCCAATACAAGTCTGCCTTTTATTCGTACGTACGATCGCGAGTATAAAGGTTCGCGTGGGTGTGTTATCACGTGTGGAACGAGGCAGCATTCCTCGTGGTGACCTTGTGGTTGTGAAAATTTAATTAAAACGCGTCCCGACGCGAGTTCTTGCGCCGGACAACGCGCGTAACTTGACAAGATCTCGCCACGACGAGTGGTTCTCCTTTCACTTTGGTAAATTGGGGGGAAAAGAATCGTGCTAGTGTCGTGGAATATTTCGCGAGAAGGAATAATAGTCTGGATTGTCCATACTTAGCCTTATTTGGACTAGGAATATTCCTTTTCAAGATTTTCCTTTATGAACAAGACGCTGCGTAATTGGTTTGAGAAATGAAAGATCTTGCTAGTATCTGCTTGAAGTAGTAAAAACAATTCTAAAAGACGTACCGCTTGATGAAAGAGGAGCTGAACGATGTCGAGAATTGTTAAACTCTGAAAAGGTGAATAATAATTTCTGTATGTGTATATATTCGAGTGTTGGATGGTGGAAGAAAATTGTGTAATCTAAAAATCTTGTTTGAACTTCCGTAATAATAAATATCTCTCTCTCTCTCTCTCTCTCTCTGCCGATGGATTATTGTCACGGTGGATTATCACGGAAGAAAAACATTTCGCACTTGAAGGAAATAGATATATTTAATAAGTGTGCAATATGGAATAACACGAGAGATAAAGAAACGAGCGTTGAAGAGCGTTAATAATAATTTATTGGCTCGAGTGGAATTCATTAGTCACAATTTCATTTGTGAAAAACACGTAGATGAAAATATTATAACGAAAATGTTATATCAAAGGATCTAATTAATGGATCCACCATGTACAGAGTGGATATAATTTATCCTTTTACGAAACAGTTTCATTAATTCGAAAAATACTTTGAAATTTAAATATCCAACGATGCTCGATGGAAAATAATCCCAGAAATATTTATTGCTACTTTAATTCTTCTATTACTTATTTCTAACAATAATTCCCCCCTCTTTTTTCAGCGTTGAGCCTGCTATGTGTAAAAAAATTCTCCGGCAGCGGCACGATGCTGGAAGCACCGCCCGGAAGTCGCGAGGACCTCGTGGAGGCGGCAAGAACACCGTGCACACCTACAGGTTAGCCATTTCCCAATTTTATTCGAAAGTTTAAACCAACGTTTAAACAAGATTAACTTAACTTTCACGCTGACCCTATCTTAATAATCGAGTGAATCGTGACGACATCGCGTACAAATGAATGAAAGAGGAAATATCGTGAAGATAAAAGTGTCAAATTATCACACGTTCGATTATAAAATCCTATCTTAAGATTCGTGAATCGTAACGACAAGTGAATCGCGTACAAATGGAATGGAAAAGGAACGTCGAAATATCGTGAAGATAAAAGTGTTAAATTAAAGAACGGATGAACGTTCAATTTTAGAAATCCAGGGTTATTTGGATATATATCGAGTTCGTGTTTATGATAAACTTTAAATAGACACCGGCAGTTCAAAAGTTTCGACACGAGTCGTAAATTCGACGAATAAATAATGAAAATGGTAAAAGTAGCACGATACCGTACCGTTGCCATAGCTTCGCCCGGAGTTATTGGCAGCGTGTGTGCATTTTCATTCGTATCAATTTCGAGGATTACGGAGTTGGTAGCTTCCACAACCGGGTCGGTAAATTTCAATCTTTATCTACCGGTCCACAGTAATTCCAGCTTCGAGCCGATCGTTAAAGCGGGACAGATGTCGTATCCGGCGGGGAGGAGGGAGGGGGTTGAACAGCGGGAAAAATGTTCGGTGCGTGGCTAACAGGACCTGAAAAACCTTCTGAATCGCGAGTGATTAACCCAGTTCGCGTACCGTAATTAAACTTTAGGCCGCGTGTACATCTGAATGTAGAAAAAACAGCGTGTCCCAACACCCTCGCGGACAGAGAGAGAGAGAAAAAAGTTAAATCCTCTTTTTCCTGGATATTTTTGTATTTCTTTTTTTTTCCTCCCATCGAGTGTATCTTTCCCGCTCTTTTTTTCTATCGCATTTTGGGTCACACGTTAACGCAAAAATGTTCCTCGTAATCCGAAACAACGAGTCCACCGAGTTATAATATTATATAAAAATAGGTCGACGAATTTTTTCTTTCCACCAATTTCCAGAAAATTAAACTCCCTGGTAATTCCAGGGAGAAATCACGTTTCCGGAAACATTTCCTCACGATACATTCCCACGTTCCTAACGAGCAATCTCTAAATGAGAAACCGACCGACCATTTGCTAAATGAAAGCGGCAAATGGGGGGAGAGTCTCCGGATCGGCGAATAAGGTTGACGAACAATCAAGAGCCGAGCCGCGATTGTCCGGAAAGGATCATCGATCGAATGGGTTTCGGTTATTTCGCGGGACAACAGGTGCATGCGAAAACATTTTTTGGAATTGCATCGTTTTCGCCCCAAGTATATCGATGCCAAGTCGGGTCGAATTACACGCGAAACCTGCATCCAAGATTCGAGTCGAATGAAACGGAAATATCGTTCGAAAAATCGTCCCATTTCAGTTCCGTTCGACCGACTATATCCTTTATCCTCGGTTAAAATTAACCGACGATGAGGCGTTGAATGAAGGGAAGAACACGATCGATGATTCTCGCGCTTCCTGTCGGCATTATTATTATCTATCCGCAAGTCTAATAGAGAGCTGTTCTTTTTTATCCCGATGGAGTGCCAGTCAGCGATCTCGCGATGATCGAGATGTGTCGGTTATGGAGCGGATACTTTTTATCGAGATCTATCCGGCTCTCGTGGAACGGTTCTTCAGTTTCGGTTCGAGTTAACCCCACGGAACGACTCGTCCATTCTACGTATATAACGAAACACGATGGATTATAAATAAAGGAAAAAAAAAAAAAAGAAAAAGTAAGAAAAAAGACGTTAAACGAAAAAGGGACGAGCCTGGAAAAACATGTACGGTTTCGAGGACGTATTATTAGGTTCAAGGGCAAGCGCGAAGGGTCTAAAAATAAGGCAACCTTTCCCCCTTGTAATTTTAAACGTTACAAAGAATGCAATGGAAGCGAAACGCGCGTTCGACACCAACCTCGATCTCTTGGAGAGGGACAGCGGCTCGTTTTTTCCGTGGTTATTTATATAAAGCATCATCATTCCTCGACGCGCTGAAAGTTTGATAAACCTTTGTCGATTTATCAAACGCGCGTTGAAAATTATTATTTCTTCTTCTTTTTTTTTTTTTTCCATCCCTTTCGAGGAAAGGCTTGAAAAAAAGCTTCTATCTCGCAACCCATTTCCCTCTCTCTTGACATTCTTTCTCTTTCGCCTCGGCAACCATTAATTACCAGCATTGCTCGCGATTCCTCTCATCGCGAGTAAGTAACCCGATTCTTCTCGAATCGAGAGGAGACCGCGAAGGCCCGTGAAAGAGAGATTCCACGAAGAGAAACCAGAAACTCGTCCGTGAAATCCTTTGATCGAGAGGCGGTGGAAAAGGCAAGGCCCTCCACCTTGAGGTATCGAAACGATAATTGACACCACTTTCACGGGTAAAACCACGGCTTTCCAATTTTCTCCTTATTTTCACCGTGTAATAAGTTATCTTGGCGGCGTTTAGCCAGGGTAAAGGGATGCTTGCTCGCCGGAGGAGAGCAGTAATGGCCATCGTATATATAGATGGTTCTTTACAAGGCGGCGAGATAAGCACTGATTGGCGACCGAAGCGTAATCACTACGGCTTCCTGAAATAGCTCCAACCTCCACCCCCCTCGATCTTGGGATCCTTGGCAGAGGAAGTGGTTCGATCGGTGTAGGTTGATGCCACCACTTTCGATCTTGCATCTTATGACAGCATATCATTCTTCTTTCGACGCCGCCTTGTTTTCTCGTATTCGGGTGAACGAGCAACGTTGTTGTTGCGACAAGTTTTCAGTATTGAGCGATTCGATCACCGACAATGCAGTTTATCAGATCTCTTCTGTAATTAGGAGTAGATAATTGTCTGTATGATTTCGTCGAAACATATAATCGAACGAATGATTACACCTTCCAATATTTAATATATTTCCCATTTTTTACTTTTTCCTCGCGAGATATACATAATTTGATTCATCGACGTGTAAACGGGTTAAAACCAAGAAATCGGTTTGTACCTCGATTATATCCCCGTAATTTCTTCTTCTTTTTTTTTAAATCAACGTTAAAGCATGGTATAACGACATGTCACATTACATACATCCCGGGGAATGTTCCTCAAATAGCGGCAAACTGTTCATCGAGTTATCCTCACTCACTGGTGTCCACCACGTGACAAAACGAGCCTCACCATTTCCTCCCTACGAATTTGTCCGATCCTCGAATCGGCTTTCTCCACTCTCTCACACGAGTCGGCATAATTGGAACGAGCGGTACATTACACGGTTGTGATCAATATACGCGGTAATATCCCGTAAAGGAACGGAGCAGAAACAATACAGGTATAATCCGATCCCTCGATTATTACGATGATAAATCATGGCCGAATACCGGTATTAACAACGCGTCCAATAAATAAGGACAATTTCCATGTGGGGGCAACCATTTTCCAATCTATCACGATCGAGTGGACCTTAACCCGAAAATCGTGGAAAATCGATTCTCGACAATCTGGTGGCCATCTCGAATCGAAAACACCGAAATGCAAATTCGAGATTTCATTCGTTTTATTCGTATCGGCATGGTGGCTCTCGAAAAGGTTCTCTCGGATGATTTCACATTTCAGCCAGATACGCGGAAGAAAAAGTTAGCGTGGTTACTGTTGTTGATCGATAACCAGGCGGCGGCCAGTTTTGTATAAAAGATTCAACCCTCTTTTATTATTAATTTGAACGATCAGAAGGGAGGTTGCATATTGCATGCGCGTTTCCATTGGCTGTTTCATGAGCTGCAAATTCCAACCTGCTGCCAAAGGTTGATATATTAACGCGTTCGAGGATTTGTGTGTATCGACGATTTTATAACGCGTTATGGCTGGATCGTTCGTGAAAAAATCGATCTTCAATGAGGAGAGGTAAATTTGGTAAATTTATTCCTATCTTCCTTCCTTCGATTCGGCGTCGATCATTTAAAATGATCAATTCGATTCGAAACCTCCGTCACGGTTGCAAGGGTATCAAACGAGGAGGAACTATCCTCGAAATAAAAGTACGAACTTTCGTGTAAGCGACACCGTAATTTTCTTTAGAGACTTTCGATGTTCCCACTCAAGATATTAGAAAAGTTGCTGAATATAAAAAGTTGTGGAAGTGACAGTTCCGGGGGAATAAAGGGGCTGTTTCGTTTTTAAAATAAGGTTAAATAAAATTGGGAACATTTTTTGCTGGTCATTATGATCCATCGGTATTACAACCCCCGAAAACTTCCGATCCGATCATCCTTTAAAATAGAATAGAATTTTTTTCGAAAATTGAACCGAGCGATTTTAGGTTTTTTTTTTTTTGAAAAGTTGGATTAGTTTAAAAGTTATAATTGGTCGAAGTTGCTTCTTTCTTCAAACTTGTAACGAACGTTTCGTAGATAAAACAAGCGACAGACATCGAAAGATGTGGACGAATTTTAAAGATGGAATGACTTCTGTCAAGGATCTTGCGTATTTTGCGTATTGGAAATGATGATAAAGATAGGAATAAAATACTTGACAAAAATTTTAAAAGTTTGAAAATTTAGTTAAACAATGAAGATCGTTTGACGTCGTATCGATACGATAAAAGACTCTTCCACGTCACCGACAACCATTAATAATTGAAATATAATGTTAACGTAATACCATGGCCGATGTGTGCAATTACTTTATAATTCACAATTGCACGTCTTCCGATGGCCCATTAAGGAGGCAACAAATGGCCGAAGAACGGTCTCGCCTATCCCAGTTTCACAGCGGTGTGTCAAATCGGCTCGTTCTTGTAAATTTTAAGGAGTTTAATTCCGCGTAATTGCCCAAGTTTCGCCTGCGGCCACCACGATCCACCACACCAAGCCAGTGTTAAGAAACGGACGGAGGAAACGGTGGAGTGGAAGGAAAATTGTTCAACAAAGTTTTCAAGACCCGCGCGATTTTTTATTTCGAAATTCTTCTCCTCCCCGCCCCT